CTAATCAGTGTACTACTCATCTGTTGCATGCCCTAACATACTATGCAGTTTAAGGCTTCATTTGACCTAAGGGGTCCTTCTGCAACAACACATATTGTGTACCCATATATTTTAATACAACCAGTTAAGTAATAAAACAGCCACCCATGACGTGAATTCAGCATGACTTTTAAAAGCCTATCTTTCCTTGATACATTTCTAACAAGCTATATAAAGCATCTCTGTATTACTATGCTTGTGTTAGAGGGAGCATTAATTTGCAATCAAGGCTTCAGTTTTAAAAAGCTTTTTAAACATCTAATATTATAAATGTTTGAATTAATTATGTCTTTCACTAATATTTAAAAATGCTATAAAGATTTGAGCTAACGCCTCCTCTGTATGTATCAGAAGGGCCTCATGTTCAACACACCACTGCTCAAAATCCACTATCACAAATGCAACAAAAGGAAACCTTTCACCAACCTTTTAGAAAATTGCTTCTCGGATGTCACTGTGATCTTGTTCTTCAGACGTTCAATGTGAACGGTGTTGCCCAAGTTTCCAGTTTTTCCATTGACCTTAACCTTCTCCTTTAGGAACTGTTCCTGTTTCAACATTAAAGAAATAGAACACTAGGGAATGGCACCCTAGGTATGAACTAGGGAAGGGACCCTAGCCACAGAGCAATGTTAAAAATCACCGTTTACTTGTGTCCTGATAGCAAGTATTTACAACGCAGTAAGATTTTACCGCACGTAATTAAAAAAAAAAAAATCAGCCCCGTGCTAAAACAGGATTCAATTTAAAACAACTGTATTATTTGTGGACAGGTGTGAACCGTCTCATCTGTAAAAGACATCCAAACCCAAGAAACTTTCAAGAAGTGCCGATAATTTAAAGAACAGCTGTTGATTTTACTAACTGAGAATGTAACTTTCCAGCTGCATTTCAGTTATGGTACGGTACTAAAGCTGTTATTACACTACGCACCAGAAGCACGCGCAAACCCACGACTTACGAAATTCCCCGAATCAAAGATTCCATCTTCCACAGGATGGGTCAAGTCAAGGCAAAACTTCCACGTTGACTTTTTAGATTTTCTGTCCTTTTGCTAAAACACACACCCAGACACACACAAAAAAAACCCCATTAACATTAACAATCCGCACCCGAAACGCTTTCGTCAGCGCGAAGGGGGGACCGCGGCGGCCTGTGGCGAGGGCCGGCCCAGGCCGACACCCGCCGGGAGAGCGGGGCTGACCGCAGCCGGCTCGCTCCGGGCCGCGGGCCCCGGCCCCTTCCCACTCGAGGCCCTCTCGGGGGAGAGCCCCGCTTGCCACCACACGCCGCCGGGAAGAGCCGCCGTCTCCCGCCCGCCCTCCACCGTCCCTCTGTGAGGGGGCCGCGGCCCCGCCCCGCCCGCGCGCGCTCACCGGCGGCATGCTGCCCCTCCGCCGCTCTCCCACGAAAAGAGCGCCCGGCCCCCCACGCCACGCTTTTATACTCCGGCGCTGACGTCACCACGCAAGCGGGGCGGAGCCAGGCGGGTCACGCAGGGAGGCGGGGCGCTTTCCCGCCGGCGGAAAAAAGTCAGCACGCGTTTTTAGCATGAAGGAGCCACCTTTTTATTTCATTTTAATTTTCCGCTTTTTTTTTTTTTTTTTAATTTCTGTTGGACAGGAACGCAAGCGCTTCTCTTGCTCTCGTACAAGCCGCAGGCCGCGCCGCTGTAGCGGTGAAGCGTTTCTCCTGCGGGAAGGCGAGGGTGCTGGCGGAGAGCAGGGGAGCGCACGGTGCCCGCTGCCACTCGTGCCCACTCCCACTCGAGAGTCGGAGCTCGCAGATCCCCTTCCACACCGCCACCGAAGCGCCAAGGGCTCTCCCGCGCTCCCTGTCATCTCAGCCAGCACCCGGCTCCCCGCAGCACCGACACCCTTAGGATTTCTGGAGCAAAACACACATCGACGTCCTTCCCCCGATCGCTCGCGTGGCGTCGAAAACAATACAGCTTCCAAAACAGATACACGCTCGAACCGCGAGGACTGCGCTTCCCGGTTCACACGATTTACAGGGTTTGGTTTTTGCTACGATCAGTACAACGAGTCGTCGCCAGCACTCCTCTTTCTTTCTCCCGCGTTTCGAAAGCCGCACCGAGCAACGGTTAACGATATACATACAGCACAGGACGACAAGGGTTTTCTGCCACACAGCAATACATAGCAAACATTTCGCTTTAAGTTCACAAACCAAGTTACTCTCAGATGCCAAATACCGTAGGGCCAGACTGCAGACGCTGGAGAGACTTCTGCTGCTCTCGGCGTACCGTGCTGAACTGCCGAACGCTCCAGGATCTACGCCTTCGTTAACGTTCTCGGTGTATAAGCGAGATACTCGAAACATCCTTAACAAGGTCTTTTTCTTTTTTTCCTGAAGTTTAGTTCTACTGTAACAAACTACATTCTAAATTACTCAACCGAAAAAAGTGGGATTTATTGAATTTTGAATTCTGTGAGACTGACCTGCAGTAACCATAAGAGTTCAAACTATCAACAAATTTGACTTCTTTACAGATTATGTAAAATTACCTGTATTGTGAAACTACAGACTGTGCACCGTTTCTGGGTACATTGTGGATTAGAAAAACCTGCGAGAGGCTTGAAAGCAGTTAACGTTGAAACAATGAAACTCAGCTAACTTCTTAAAAAAAACAGCCCTGAGAACATGGCTCAACTAGCAAGAGCCTAGTTGAAAAACCACCATTATAAGCAAAAAATTAGAAGGTTCTATTGAAATCTTAAAGTATTACTTGCCAACATTTGAGGCAGGAAACACTGCAGTCTTTCCAATGCTGTAAAGTAGTAAGAGAAACTCAATGAATTGGAGCCATAAAAAAATGCATTATTTGGAGTGGAAATACTTTTCTTCACCTCCTAGTTTTCACAGCCTTTACTCTAAGCAGTTGCATCAGCTATTAGAAGTTTATCATTTTCGGTTTTGACACAATTTAAGTATTAAGACAGTACTACAGAACAAGTACATTGGTTAAGATTTGTTTTAAAGTAAAGCTATGAAAGGAGAATTTCCCTAAGCATTTGGTTAGGGATCTTAAAAATACGCATCTATATGGACTACTGATCACAAACCAAGTTTGTTGCAAACAATTCTGACAGTAAACTGAAACATCTTACTTTGGAAAAAATGCCTCAAATACATGTTCTAATTTAGAAGCAACTTGTTTAACCTTACTGAAACTTGGAGATTATGCTTAAGACTCATGCTTATGTATTACCTATGGGAAACTTCATGCATGACGAGCCAATGCTCTGCACTTCCATAATGTTCGAAGTGCTTCACAAAAGACAACTAAGTATCTAAGAACAAACCTATAATGAAGTACTTAATCATTTAGATCTTGCAGAACTGAAGGTTGCAATAGAAGGACATCGACACATCCCAAGGAGGGCTCTTCCAGCAAGCTGGAGGTCATAAAACCTCTATCTTTAGATTGCTGTAGTACCTGAAAACTCCAGTCAGACCAGGACCCCACTTGTAGGAACAGGACAAAAACCAGCCCTCGTCCCAGACAGCTTACAGTCTAAGTAAATGCTTAGATTGTGGGCCAGTGGCATCAAATACCTGTCTTCCAACAAGGTTCTAGAGGACAGACAGGCACCTGAAAGTAGACTAAAGCACTACGAGGACAAGAACAAATCCAAGTCTTGTAGTTTTCAAGCATATCAGAAGTATTCGTAATGCGGTGATAGCATTAGAACTTGCACTAGTTTGATATAGTGACCTATGACTTCCCATTTGACACCACACAGCTCAGCTTGCTGTCAAGACCATCATCAATGGTTTCACAGTCACCTCCAAAGCCAGCAAAGCCTCTCTTTCAGGTACCAGTTCAATAGAGAGGCAGAAAGGAGCATAGTGCAGACTAGCTTGAACTACTAAGCATGCTCTTCAAAACTATTCTGAATGCATTTCAATCTCTTGCATCTACAGCTTTTTTTAAAAGCAGTTTTGCCATTTCAGTCAAGGTGCTATTTATAGAGTTGACCTGCAATGTGTATTGTGCTAGGCAAGAGCGTGTGGCAGTATCCTGCTTCTGCCAGGTGTCCCAGGTAACTGTGCTTTATTACCAGAGTATATTTATTGCTGTCTTTACCTTCGCTGTACTGCTCTCCCTGTCATGAGAAGTCTATGGAAAAATGCATGTTTTTTGCCATCTAGATTAGACCTCCAAGATTTGCTAAGCCCTGCCACAGTATGTACAAGGGCAGTTCAGGACAGTTGCCACGAGCCCTTTGGGGATTAGAGAGTACATACTATTAAGCTACAAACATTTTAAGCAGTGAACAGCAGCGTGAAGTCTGACCCTCGCTGCCAATAGTGTGAATCGTGCGTGCTGTCCAGGGCAGCATGCCACATGTTTACAAGTTGTCCTCCGTTAGCCTGCAGTCACTGAAGCTTAAGGCAAGTTCATGAAACAATTTATCAACTGTGAAGAGAGGTCCAAGCCACGCACTAAGGAAGTTTCCCACTCATGAAGAGTCACCAAGTCTTAGAATTCAAGTTGAATGCCTTAAACAGGAGCAGGCTAGTTATCCTTCTATAACTATTGCTGTGAAGCCTTGTGTTTGCCTGTTAAGCTACTAAATAGTTAGAGGCATGCATGCGTGTTTCAATGACTCAGAACTCCCTTGGATAGGAGCTAGCTTTCCTAACTATGTAGCTATTTATTTACTTTTATAGTTAAGCCATGGTTGTTCAGTATTGTCTGTCAAGTCTATATTTTGAAAACACAATAGTTTTATTTTTTTAAAAAGAATCACATGCATTTAGTTTAGGCTCAATGCTACAGTTTGTCCCACTTCTCGAAAAACATGTGGTCCCTGTGCTACAAAAATATGGTCTGAACCTGAAGATTAAAACCTAAAGCTGGAAGCACTGCAACAGATTCCCATGGAGTTTGTCACCCTCTTATAGTTTAAGATAAATATAATAAAGGAAAGCAATTGAACTGCATTTTACTATTTTATTTTTCAAGTCTGACAAAGGCCTCGAGTGAAAGTCTATAGCTTTAACATCCATTCTCACCTTTGTGTCCCCTTGACCTGTCTATGTCTTATCTACCCAATATTCCAACTGCCTGCCTAAACCACAGGTAGGCTTTGACACCATTTTATCGTTACAATAAGCCAACAAGTTGGCAAAGAAGAATACAGAGGTAATACAGTTAAGTTGCACATGGCCACTGGGGCTTGGTCAAGCCAGCTGGCATTTTTGATCACTTGAGTTTCTTGGTCTAAAAGTTGCGATTGGCACCTACAGTTCTGCAAGAGTCCCAATCCACAAAATACTTAAGCTTTAAAGAAAAAAGAAAAAAAAAAAAAAAAAGCTACTTATTATTGTCAGTTCTACCTAAACATGTCAAGAAAAATACTATTTGTGCTCTAGGTCACTTTATAATCCTAGATACCTACCAGCTTATCTAAAAGCCCCTGAATACTGTATTTTGTCTGTTCATACAGACAAACACTGTTTTGCTCAAGCAAATAAAAATATATCCACTAGTAACACCTGATTGGTTTCTCAGATCCATAGCTGAAACCTACAGGAATGTTAAAATAGTTACAATTAAGGAATTAAAATCTCAGTGATTTTGAAAACTGCCAGTTAGCCTGCAACACTAATCCAGAATCCAGCACTGCTTTTTAACAATTCAGAAAAGAAATGAGGTTGCTTGTGAAGGCCAGAGCTTTGGTGACAATAAGAACCAAATTTATAGATCTGTGGTTTGTCCAGACCTGAGCAGTTGCCCGAGCCTGGTGATCCTCTTTATTTGCAAGGCTTTATGGCTACAGCACATTCTTCATTCATTGCACTTATGACGGATATCTGGAAGAAAAGACAGATAGGTGAACTCCAACCCATGCCAGAGGAGGCGCTCCTAGAAGCTACAGACTTTCACATTTTAGTATCTATCCCATCTCTCTTGAGAAGAAAAAAATAAAGTTGAAGCTGGTAAAATTCAGTGATTAGAAGAATGTCCACAATATCTGCCCCTCTGTCCTGGTTTCAGCTGGGACAGAGTTAATTTTCTTTTTAGTAGCTGGTATAGTGCTATGTTTTGGGTTCAGTATGAGAAGAATGTTGATAACACACTGATGTTTTCAGTTGTTGCTGAGTAGTGTTTAGACTAAGTCAATGATTTTTCAGCTTCTCATGCCCAGCCAGCAAGAAGGCTGGAGGGGCAAAAGGAGTTGGGAGGGGGCACAGCCAGGGCAGCTGACCCAAACTGGCCAAAGGGGTATTCCATACCGTGTGATGTCATGCCCAGTATATAAACTGGGGGGAGTTGGCTGGGGAGGATGGCCGCTCAGGAACTAACCAGGCATCGGTCAGCCGGTGGTGAGCAACTGCATTGTGCATCACTTGTTTTGTATTTTCCAATCCTTTTATTATTATTATTATTATTACTACTGTCATTTTATTACTGTTATTATCATTGTTAGTTTCTTCCTTTCTGCTCTATTAAACTGTTTTTATCTCAACCCACGAGTTTTACCTCTTTCTTTCAGATTCTCTCTCCCATCCCAATGGGTGGCGGGGAAGTGAGTGAGCGGCTGCGTGGTGCTTAGTTGCTGGCTGGGGTTAAACCACGACACCCTCCCACTGATTTGCTCTTTTGCTGCCTTCTCTATGCCACATTGCCTTGGCTGGCACCTTGAGGTTCGTACAACAGAGGAAGATGAACAAGCTCCTGCAGTAGAGCCAAACTAACAACTGGTGTGGCCCAGCATAAACTACAGTCTGCAGAGCTACTTGCAGACATGTTTGCTAACATAGCAAATTAGACTACTCAGACTATATCACAAAACTCTGCACTTGGTCCCGATGAAGAAAGCCTGGAGGCTCCAATCCACACCATGCAGACAGCACTGTTGGGATTTACCTAGACATCTGAGACACACCCGCATCGCCTCACTGTGAACTGAGCCAGGCTTCAGTGCCATACTGAGTGCTCCAGTACAAGAGTCCTTCTGCATCTCAAAGGACCAATTCCCGTGCTTCTAACCCGCTCATCATGGAGAGCTACAAATGGTCAGTGTTAGAATAAGACTTCTTCATTGTATAATCAAGTGGAATTAACCACAACTCTTCTTGTCTGCCCTCTATGCTTACCTGCACATCTTCATTGGCATTGAATTTTCCTTCTATTTCTTTGCCAAGATCCCCTTCTGGCAGCTTTAGATCCTCACGAACTTCACCGCTTTCTGTCAGCAGGGAGAGATACCCATCCTGAATACCTATCAGCTGTGAAGAGAAGTTCGCTTTTAGTAAGTTTAACATCAGTAGTCACTAGTAGGCAGTAGCTGAAGGTAAGCAGAAGGCAGTGAACTCTACCTGTTACATTAATTCTTTAGTACTGTGTTTGTAACAGTTAAGAAACTAATTTAACTCAATTTTTAGCAAGAGTTTAGAGGGCGGAGAGTTAGGGCAACTGTAGCAAAAGCTATCAAGAACCACCAGAACCCTGCTGGTTATTTCCTAGTATGTGGGGCACCGCAAAACCCATCCTTGTGATTTAGAAGTAGTACTGCTTCCAGGTCACTGGTTCAGCTTTTTACGCCTATGAATTAGAAACAGTAACTGGAATGGTGTTCACTGAACAGCATTGCTTTTACAAAGTGTACAAAGTTCACAACGGTTGAACTGTACGCTTCTATACCTTCACCTGTGCAATGAGATACCATCATTTACATTAAAGGCTAATGAATAAATTGGGGAACATCCACCAAGCTCTGGACCACTTTTATAATGCTGTTTTCAGCCTAACCGAAAGCCTGAGCTAAGGGGAACAGTTATTTTGACAGAGCAGGTTAGGAACCTGGAACACGTAACAGTAAACCAAAAAGGCAGCCCTAACAAGTCTCATAAACATCAAGAATTTCAGTAGCAATGAGGACCCAAGAACGCGAGAGAAAGATCACCAAGATAACATTAACAATCTCTTGGAAGGTCTGAGCCCTAAGACAAGCTAGTCACACTTAATCCAAACAGCACCAGCTGTCCTGAAGAGTTGCTAACCCTCTGAACTTTGGCTTTGTCAAGCAATCGCAGCTTTCCAGCTGATGTGGACATGTATCAGTTCCTGACCAGAACTACTCCCGAGACAAGGGAAAGATAGCCGACACATTATAACTCAGAACCTGAATCTGCTTTTAAGAGCTCACTATCCCTATCACAGAAGGCATTACAGAAGTTAGAGGCCTGACAAGTTCCCTCCATACATACATTTCAGAGCAGAGCTCAGGAGCACCAAAATGACTTGAGATCAACTAAAGCCAGCTTCCACGCAAGGAGCAGAAAGCACTGTAGCAAGTTAGAATTGGTATCAGATGCAGTTTAAGACTGTCTTGTTGATTCATCTACCCTATGTAAGAGTGAAATTATAAATTACAATACATGCTTAGATTCAAATTTACTTTTAGTGAGATCTTGATTACCCTTTAACTAATAATAACTTGCAGCAGGGATAACACCTCTCCAGATACTAAAGGATGCCAGTATCGCAAAGAATGAAGAAGTGACCTTACAACATGAGCTAGAAAACGTTGTCTATTACCTGTCATTTCTAAAGATTGCAAATATAACATGAGGTTGTCAGTACAGCAAGGAGCGCTCCATCAATGAGCTCTGACAGTTTTAACAATTCAGTAAATGCTACAAGTTAAGCAATGTCATGTCTCGACAGGCAAGTTCCATCAATTCTGACAACAGTACCTTATTAATTGAGAGGCAAGTTTGGGGAAGAAGAAAGTTTACATGTGGTATTAGGAGTATAAAGCCTCCTAATGTGTGGGAGGACGCAGTGACTGTTAACTCACCTGGTAATCATTCCTCTTGATATTGGGAACATCCATGTTATGAGTTGATGGACAAATATCTTCATATTTTTTACCAGTGAAGATATCAATACCAACCAAGTGAACCTACAAGAGAAGAAAAATAGTATCAGTTACTGTAGGTCCTAGGGACACAAGATGCCATTGCCATCAGTATTGCTGGTTCCACACTGTTTTCTGAAAGATCACGTGTGATACCAGAATCTGCCTGGACCCTTTGCTTGTGGTATGAAAGCAGCCCATGTAGCAAGAGAAAGCCTCTCACACCCTTTCATAGCACACTACAGAAACACTACATGAGAACGCAGATCAGCCACTGTCACCTTCCATAGCCTTCTGTAGTTTTACAGCAGCAAGCTAGAGCTCAAGAGTATGCAGCGGTTGAGAAAAAGTTTACTTCAAGTTCTAGCTGTTCTGAGAAACACAACAGTGTCAGTGACAACGCGAAGGTTAAGGGTAAAAGAAGACGTGGTCATGCACAGAGATTAAAGCAGCTCCCACCTCCCTTTATGCTAGCAGCAGCTGTCCACTGCAGCTAGCGCTTGGATTACCAGTTCATAGCCTGCTCTTCTCAGGTCCTTTCACTCTCACAGCTGTTTCAGTGTTTAAGAAAATTGGATCTGCCTAATAAAACAAGCCATAAAAAAAGCAAGGGGAGGGAGAAAGGGAAAAAAAAAGACCTGGCAAAGGCTTGGTATACTCTAGCTTTGACAAATCCTAAATACTTTACCCACCTACCTGTACCGTACAAGGCTGTGGAAACTTACAAATCTAATTAGCCCGTGTTTGTAACAGATCTGTCTCTAAACTCTAATATACCCAGCACGAAGTGTTGCTGAATGATCGAAGGGGGAGTCTAGCCTTGGTCCAAGGTTTGGACAGCTGCATAAGCCAACTGCTTAGGCAGCAGGACTGCAGCCTAAGAATGTCCCTGCTGGAACACAGGAGGGGGAAGGTATGCCTCACTCGGTGCTGAAAAAAAGGAAAGAAGCAGCGAGGCAAGCCGGCAAAATAGGGCCAGAGCAGGCCCGGAGAGGTAACGACGGTCTGCTGAGCTCTTCTGGATTATGTAACAGAACATGGGCACTTCTAGTAAGCGCTTAAGTCGAGCGCTGTGATAGTGAAAGCCTGCTAGCACAGGGACACACAAAAGTGCTTTGGTGGGTAGCGACAGCACAATCCAACCACGCCCTAGTGATTTCATCAGCCCCCCTTCCAGAACTTACTCTACCCCCACTACAGAAACAGGTTTTATCGCCATCAGCTTTAAAGCTTTTTAACAAGTTGGGAGGAAAAAAACCAAACCAACCCCAACACCCTCCCCCCGCTCCCCGTCCTCAATCCTTCCTGCGTTACATTACTGGAAGCCCTTGAGCTAACTCTAGAGCGAAGAGACACACGAGACGCTGAAAAGCAAAAGCAGGATACAGAGCGCTCTGCCAAATGAAACGCTACACCCTTCCCTCTCGGCCGGCCAAGCCAGCGATGCCGCTCGGAGGGCCGGGAGCCGCAGAGAGCACACACACTGCGGGCCGAGCAACAGATCGGGGCTTGCAGAGCCCGCCCGGGGCCGCTCACCTTGGCGTGGCCGTGCTTGCCCGTCTTGGAGGTGGACATCTCCACGATCTTGCAGGGGCGGCCCTTGAGCACCACGAAGCCGTTCTTCCGCAGCGCCGAGCACTGCATGGGGTAGGTGAAGGAGGCGCCGGCATCGCCCGTGGTGAAGTCGAGCTCGTCGGCCATGGCGCTGGGCGGGGAGGG